AACTGTATAATGTTTAAAGATCTATGCATGCAAATGTATCGAACAATAAATAATATGTTCATTTATTCGCTTCAGTGTTTTCCCTACAGTTCTGTACTTATAGCAGGTTCATGGAAACTAGTCCGCCATCTTCCTTGCTCAAAGACTACTGGCGCTTTTTTTAATTGCGTCTATCAATTTTTTTGTGATAGGCCATGATAGTATAACATATTATTTGCAATACAGTGTTGATGTGAATAAATAGTCTAATATGAAAACTTGTTTGAGTGTAGACAGCTTAATCTGCAAGTTTATCAAACATAACAATGGCTTAATTAGTTGACAGAGTATTAATTCTTAATTTTTTTATGATAATGTAATTGATCCACATTTATTTGTAAATGATTTCTTATTGTACAGTATGTATGCGCTGGTTTCAATCTGTATTAGTAGGCCTAAGGGAGTTGTGAAAGTATAACCACTCCCTGGTAGGACCAATAATACCCCCATGTACCAATGTGTGGCATATCGGTATAAAAAAAATCCTCAAACTGCATTCAAATTATACTGCTGAGTTTAAATTCATGAAGAGTTCTAACAGAAATTGTGATGGTAGCCTGGTGATATTGAGCATGATGGAGGGGGTGGGGGGATATGCGAAATTGGAATAATTTTTTCATTTATGATATTTCATTTATGAACTCTCACTTGATGTAAATTATGGCTTAGGGAGTCAAATAAATGTTGTAAAATTCTTGCCTTTGTTGGGTTTGAATTTTGAACCAAGTAGTCCATGGATGAAAAATGATGAATTCTTTTCGTCACAAAGCTACCAGTCCACACTGTTTTTCTAAACCTTTATCAACAGAAAGTCTCAAAAGTGTTTCATAGGTACTACCTTTGTCATTGAGTAAACAAAGGGTTTGTACATAATGCGCAAATCTAGTCATTTAGATACAATGACATTCAAATTGCTTCCTGGGTACTACAGGTTACTGCTATCCTCTGTGATCACAGACAAAGGAAACAAGGACAAACTTGAATCAATACAAAATGACAAACATTCAGAATTGGATTTCATTTATTGTCATAAAGCAAGTCATGATATTCTCTTACGGTAGGTTAGAAAAATATATAAACAGGGCATAATTGATAAGTACACGCTAAAAATTAAGAAAGAAATAATTGAATAAAAAATAATGTTATGATTATTTTGCATGATAAATAATTGTAAACAACAAATTATTTCAATGTCTACTTTATTGTTGTATCATAGGTAAGATTGAGCTCAGTTTCTGCTGTAATCATAATACTTATAGTCATATACATACAATACAAATTTCTTAAGGGCTATGCCACTGCAAAATAAAATTAATATGTTAAGAAAGAAAGCTTAATTATTTAACCAGATCTCTAGATTTCTTCCAACTTGGGATCCCTGAAATTATATCATGAAAAAAATAACTTCTGAAAGACAATTGATGATAAAAGTATTTAATACATGCAAATATTATGAATTTGTTTAAGATGGGTTTATTTTCTAGGAGATTCTTGCTTGCGGTAGCAGAAGGCCGTTCCAATTTGTAGACTCCTGCGACTACAGTACCAAGATACTTTGAACCACTGTTATTGCCCAACATTGTTATAATTACAATTAGTAATTTGACTGGATTCAGATAGATTAAGATAAGATCTTTGAGCAATGATGACTGAAGTTGCCTGTGGATTTACAATTTATGCATGCCTTGCATTTTGTTTGACTTGTCTAGCTTAACCTAGATGGCAAGATTTATTGGAGCATGCATATGTTGACAAAATCCGAAGTTATTATGACTGTCGTGTAGAATATCTGTCTTTATTAGTACATTTTACCAGTGGTGGCTCCATTATGGGCCAAGATGGGCATAGAATCCCCAGTCAAGAAACCTTTGACCCCCATCAGGGAAGAAGCCAATCATTGTAGAATGGAAATTGTTATTTATACTACAGGAAGATTATTCTTGTAATTGGCAATTGTACTATGTACCCACCTAGCGATTAGTTATAAAGTATATAAATTGCAGCCACTCCAGTTTGTCAACTGATTAATTGCATTTCTAGATACCGTAATAAGGGAATTTATAAACTTTGGTAATATTATTAATTATGGTAATTACAATAGTCAATTAGGCATTGCTATTGTCTTTTGTGTTTAAAGTCTATCTTTTTTTACATTGACAGATAGTGGAGAAAAACCAACTATCAATGAAAGACGTTTTCGTGCTCTGTGTGTTTTGACGTACTCCGAGAATGTGGATTTGCAACGTTCAGCTGCGCTGTGGCTCGCGGAGATCAGTGAAAAATGTAAGAACAAAGTTTGCCAATTAATGGTAATCTGTAGTTTTGTATTGTTGAGCGATTAGCCTTGAAGAAATGTTCATATGTTTATTAGCTTTTAATAGAAAATTCAAACAAAGAAAATATTTTCCCTACAAATAAATCAAAATAGTACAGTCCCTATATTCAGGGGTTCCAAGTCTTCCCCTGACTCTCCCAAAATATGCCTGAAAATAATACCCTCTAACACTGTAGACTAACAATGAATTCAAAATTCTTTTGTGTGCCTTTTTTATTTAGTTGTAAATACTGTTCAATCTATAGCAGGAAGCACTTCTTTGGCTTGGAGTTATAAGCATGAGAGTTCCTGTTTATCCGCCTTTCTTTTTATGTTAGACTGCCTTTTTTTTTTATGTTTGAAGCGAGTCTGTACTTTCATTTTTTTGTGTTTTTCCCAATGACTCTATATGCCTACCTATAATTTGCGGAAATATGATTAAGATGCTTAATTTTTGCTGGTGATTTTTTAAAAAATCGATATCATCCCACACACCCGCTTTCTGTGCTGTAAACTTTTGTGCATATAATACCCCTCTCCTAAACATTTTTCTTAGCCTTTTTTTCTTACCATGTATTTTTTTTTCCCAATTATTTACCATAATCACATGTCTGTTGGCATCAGAGTGTCAGTCTTTATTATTATCTGCCGCATGTAATTATATATAAATGACTCTATAAGGATTAAACTAATTGCATTTCATCTCTGCTGACTCTCTTCTACATCCTTATGTAGCTCCGCAAATCTTTTTCTGACCGTCATTATCGCAGCATCTCTGACGCGTTCTCTGTATGTTTAATCAATCGACATTTTGAATCTTTCATTACAACTTGTATCTTTCCGTAACAACTTGAATCCTTTTGCAGCAACTTTAACACTCTGTAGGAATGTTGACCTTTTTAATCACAGTATTTTTGACAGTATTAAATCGGTTCTACGACATCGAAAACCAATGAGTCTCTCGGCCACCAGATCCTTAAATCCCTTAGGTGGCTGCTGAAATCATTTTGATGCACCAATTGACGCATCATATAGCTCCCGCCAACTGCCCTCCTGTGTTTTCACACCTAAGGTGTTTTGGCAAAATTAATTATTTTAAGTTGTTTATATGTAATTTTTATATGTTTTTTCCTTGGAATTTATTTTAAATAAAACTGAAATTATATTGAAATAAGTATAATTTGGATGTAATTATATTGCTGTAATTTTTTAAATTTACAATAAATCTATGCAGCCATGACATTGGACATGAGGAATACAGTTTTAACAATGTTTTTCATGTTTTTCATAGTGTTACAGCCAATAACATTACGTTTGATGAAGCTAGTCAGTTCACTACTCGAATCAGGGGATATGGAGACACAAAAAGCTGCTTCTCTTGCTCTGAACAACCTTGCAGTACATGGTCCAGGTAAGGAGGCCTAAAAATTAAACTTAATACACTTTTTAATGGGGTCACCTATTATTTACATCATTTCCTGAGAGTACAAAACACACTTTTCGACATACACTTTTTGCTATTAATTTTTTCAGGTGGCGACCCATTTTAGACTTTGTATTCTTTGGTGTCCCAAGGCTTTATATTGTCATTCGATAAGGATATTGTCTGTATTAAATGTATGTGTTGGCCTACTTGAAGCTAAATAAAATCATAATGTGACTGTTTTCTGACATACTGCCTTATTTTTTAGGAAATCTACACTAGTATAATTTGATAGAAATATCATTTGCCTTCTAATTTATCAGGTAAAAATATTTGCTGTTTGTCATATTTTTACTTTCAACCTCGGCTAAAGTTGAATACAAAGTTTCGATATTTATTAATAATACTGTACATGGTTACAACACATTTCTTATTGTTGATCTTGTGCGAAATGTTTGAAAGCAAAGCATATTCAAACAGTAAATCAGGCAGTTCTAATGCTTTTCCTCAAATGAAAACTATTATTATAATTACAAGAAGTCTTTCCTACACCTGGCCACTCACATCAATAAAAAATATGATTGAAAGGTTAAGAGCATATTGCTTACAAAAGAGTATGAATGCTAATGCTGTCTCTTATACACATCTTCTGTATTAAATGTATGTGTTGGCCTACTTGAAGCTAAATAAAATCATAATGTGACTGTTTTCTGACATACTGCCTTATTTTTTAGGAAATCTACACTAGTATAATTTGATAGAAATATCATTTGCCTTCTAATTTATCAGGTAAAAATATTTGCTGTTTGTCATATTTTTACTTTCAACCTCGGCTAAAGTTGAATACAAAGTTTCGATATTTATTAATAATACTGTACATGGTACAACACATTTCTTATTGTTGATCTTGTGCGAAATGTTCAATTTCATAGTATGGAGAATATTTACTACACTTATTTTGAAATGATTATGTAAAACAATGAATTCTCAACTTACACATAGTTGACTTCGTCGAGGTTGAATATGCAAAAAATAATTGAAAAATGGTGCTTTAACCCCCTCCCCCCCCAAAAAAAAAAATGGCTTAAAAGAACTCAAAAAGAAAGAAGCAACTTAATTTGAAACTATGCAAATATTTATTAACTGGTACGTGTTAATGTGACCTCCTGTTTTTTTAATGATCTTATCGATCCTTAAAGCAAAGAGTATAGATAGAACAAGAGAGCCAACTACGTGCTATAAAATGACAGTCCCCTAGCTACGATGGAAGTCACCATCGTCGCTATGTAGTGCACCCACTATGTGTGAGTTCACATAAAGTGCGCCCGTTTTGATGGTCTGAAGATTAAGAAGAAAAATCTACCGCCCTCTACCAATGTCTTTTATCATGTGGAAAACAGAAATACGAATAAACAATTAATTCGCGGTGCATTACTGGGGAATCCATTAGTAGCGGGCGTCCTAACTGGCTACGTAGAAATTTTTCGGCGACCCAAATTTGGGTTGTGACCCATAGTTTGAGAAGCAGGGTATACAGTATATTATTTTTGCTAAAATTCTCTTAAAATAAACTTGTTAGACAATTCAATCTACCCCGTGGGAAAAATGTAAGTAGTAAAATATAGATTTTATGTAGAGCAAAAGAAAATTAATTAGCAATACCATACCTCCAACCAGACACTTTTGACTGCAGAAGTAATCTTCTCATTGGAACAAAGCCTGTTGATTGGTTTATACAGCTTGTGAAATATGTGGCCAAGTTGATTTTTTCTTAAGATTCAGTTAGGTTTGTCAATCAACAGTAGTCTGGGACAGACTCAACTTGGGTTTGATTTGATTTATTCGGAAAATCACTTAATCTTCAACAAAAATCATTTAAACTACTCAAGCTACTATGAAGTAAAAACAAAGAATTTCTTGGATAGCCCAAAAAGCTTCAGTAGCTTATTTCCATTGGGGTCCTTATAACCTAAATGACATAAATAATCTAAAAGTCATCATTACTATAATATTAAAGTGAACAAATTTAAATAGAATGGGTATTACAAAATTTAATATGAACAAACATCGCTGAGTGAATGCTGTATAATTTTTCTAACTCGAATACAAATCAATTTTACATTAAAGTCAAACTTCTAAAGTCAAATGATTTATTTAATCTACTGTGTTTTAGCATCAACCTATATAATTAGGTCCATGTTTTTAGACTTAAGGCAAGGTTCGTTGTACTACTTAAATTACTCTTATTGATTACCAACAAAACTAATCTATTTATATGGAAATGTTGAAACGGATGTTATTTTAATGCATCTCTGCTAATTAGTTAGGACTTGTTTTGTCTTATTGTAGGTTTTGATAAAGGCGAGTTAGCGTAGTGGTAAAGAATTGTACTTTGATGCGAAATGGACCAAATTCAAGATGTGTCATAAATGTATTTTGCCCTCTAGATGGGACTTAAAGTTGTCTTGTGTGCACTACAGTATACCACATGCAGACCAAAGAGAACTTTATGCAATATTAAAAAAAGTAGGGCATTTTCTCCAGTTATACTGCCAATGGTAGGCACTGAACTGCACCCGCACAGGTCCTCAGTTGAATAATTTCAACCATTTTACATTTACATTTACCGTAATTGAAAGCTAATAGGTAGTTTTCGCCGCACGATGTTAACCTTAACGTTAATGGACGACGTCATAATTTATATATCTTGCGTTGCGGAGCACATTAATTTCAGGATTTTACATGCTCGATGTACGTTAGTTACGTGTTTGTGCATGCATATCTTGATTTATTTACAAAAGGGGCGCAGTTATCGCGTTGCATGCTGGGTAATAACGTTAAAGTTAAGGTTAACGTCGTGCGGTGAAAACTACCTAATAGCTTAACAAAGTATCCACAACAATTTTATCTATTTAAAAAAAAAATTGAACATAGTCAGTACATATTTAATAAAAGAATAGACATTAATTTGACAAGTAGAACAGTAAAACATTTATAGGCACATGAACATACCCTGTACTATGGTGAAGCACAGTATGGAAAATGCAACTATTATACACTCTGTGCTTATAAATACTAGTAAATATTATACTCTTCCAATTAAAGTGTCTGTTGGGTGCTTACTGTATATTTGCACCTACTTCATTCTAATGTTGGCAAACATCTGTAGAATTAAACTGTAGCTACAGTAGGCATTATGTACCAGTAAGGACAGAGAGATCAAGCTGTCTTTTTCAACATAGATTGATTTTTTTTTATTTATTACAAATTTGACATTATACAACTGTCCAAGAGGAAACAATGGCCTGAGGGCCCAACTCAAAAGTGGGTACCTCCTCTTGACATTATGAAAATTTGAATTTTTTGAAAATTTGTACACGAAAGTTCAAATTTTTAAACATTAAAAATCACTGTTAGAAAAGTTCATCTCATATCATTTAAGTCATTAAAATGAATGAATAACCACTCACATCTGAAAGCAAAGCATATTCAAACAGTAAATCAGGCAGTTCTAATGCTTTTCCTCAAATGAAAACTATTATTATAATTACAAGAAGTCTTTCCTACACCTGGCCACTCACATCAATAAAAAATATGATTGAAAGGTTAAGAGCATATTGCTTACAAAAGAGTATGAATGCTAATGTGTGCAATATTGTTTTTTTTTGCATTATAATTTATGCATTCATATTTTTTTGTCATTTTAAGCTTAAAAAACCACCCTTGCATCGTTTAATACAAAATATGATTTGTGTCATTTTCGGTACAACACAGTATTTTGGTTTGCTTTATTAAGCATGTAGTAGAAGTCTATGTAATATTATTTTTATCTTTTGAATAATAAAATAAATGCTAATCGTAAAATGGGTTGAAACACTAGGCACTCATGTTATAGTATGCTTCAATATTCGCATTATCAATCTAACACCATTATCCTGAAAATTATGGTGTAATATGCTGTGATACTGTAGCATACGGTATATATATCTGTCTCTTATACACATCTAGATGTGTATCAGTCATCATGGCATATTAAAATGAATTGTGATGATTAATTACAGAAATAGAAACTATACAATATAAAATCCTATTTTATTATTCATTATTATTAAGTATTTATTAAATTACGATTTTATTCAAAGTGAGGCTAAGGATACTAATACTCTCTTCAACATTATATATTTTAATTTTACAGATTGTAATAAAGATATAATTGTAAAGAGTGGCGGATTGCGTATTCTAATCCGGCTTCTACGTTCATCCAGCCTTGAGGTGAAGTGCAATGTGTGTGGCTGTATCACATCTTTAGCGACCTCAGGTAAAGTATTAGCACTTTCGTCCATGGTATTAGTGACCAATTCGAAGAAAGACAACAGACAGTTTGTTTTCATTTTAATTATCATTATCAATTTTTGCCACATATTTTAAAATATGTGGTATAGTCCCCTTTTTCTTGTGTTTACCATTTATTTTAATAGAGCTGATCTTTGGCTAAGAGATACAGTACTAAAGCATGCTAATAAGTAAATTGGAAGATAGTGAACTAAATGGGATCTCAAAATGACCTTGAGGCTAAATGATGATTTTAACAATTGACTATAATTAAGTGTAAGGAAAAGAAAATGTTTTAAGTAATATTGGTATTTGTTGGCTGCATATTAAAATATAGTCACCCATTTTGAAAGGGAAATTACAAAGATGATGATATGTATTGACTTTAGTAACTGTAGTACTCTAATAATATGCTTGTAATATTAACTTGTATGCATGCTCATTACTTGCCAAAATGGGAATATAAAAAGAAAATAGAAACAATGGTAATGCATGTGTCTCGTTCTAATTTTGTATTGAAAGCTATACAGTGTACCCTAAATTGATTAGGTAAGCACTTTTCAGCTGCAAAATATTTTTATACCATATAGTAGGTCAGCAATACCAATAGGGATGCTTGACTTAAAATTCATGCTTAGCTAAAGCCCAGGATTTTAGGTACAGTATCAGAGTTTAATTGTAGACAATAGTTTTTAAATCTCACAGCTTGTTAAGAGCTAATTGAGTTCTCATTTTTGAAAAAGTTTCAAGTTTCCATTTTATTGTGGAAGAATATCCTATTCAGCAATAATACAATACATTTGGACTAATTATAGCTAATTGAAACTCGTTTTATATACCTTGCATTCCATATGGTGAATTTCAATAAATAATATGCAGTAGGTATTACAAATTCATAGTTAAGCTCAACACAATCTGGTCCCTCTGAAGGGCTTTCTTCAAACCTGGGACCTGTGACGCTATAGAATATAAGATCCTTTGAGCTGTGAATTACATTAGACCCCCTATTCTCCCATAGCAAATAATAGACAATGCAATTGAAGATCAAATTCAGATTTTTGTTTTGAATCAGATCAGTGACTGAATTTAGACCTTTACCCTTTGACCTGATCAGCCTGGTTAAACCTACAGAATTCAAATTATTATTAAAAAAGAATGAAAACCTTTAAAATCTACAGTATCCACCCATGGTTTTGTCGTAAAGATTTCTGTAGTGGCTATGTATGCCAAAGGTCACAGATTTATTAGTGAAACTTTTGTTTTTGGTCAGATTCCACTACTGTTACATCTCATTTACACTTCAGTCTTACCACAATGGCGAAACGATTTTGGAAAAAACTTTTAAATATCGCTCAGTTAAATTATGAAATAATCTATCATCAGACCTTTGTAGCAATATTCATTCCCTTTCCTTTACAGTCCTTTAAAAGTCTAATTTAATTTACCCTTTTGTTTTCCTTTTCTGTTTCTTGTATTTATGTTATATATATATATAT